TTTTCAATCTCATGTATTTTGAGCCTCTGTTGTTAGATGTATCAATTTAAGCATTTTTTATGTCTTCTTGGTGATTTGACATCTTTATCATCATACAAAGGCACTCTTTATCCCTGGTAACACTCTAGTCCTTTTGCAACATACCATGTTCTGGAAAAAAAATCTTCCATGGTACAAGATCGTTGATCCATTTCTAAAACAAAATTTCTATCTCATCCAAAATAATACATAATTCTTTGGAGTTTGCTAAAATAAAAATTGATTTATTAATCATTTCAGAGCATAATAATGTAGTTAACCACTTATCAGGCAAATAATTATTTCAAAATAACAAATTAAACATTAATGTGTTAGTTCCAGTCAATGTTGCAATGTTGGGAAAACTTCTAGTGTTATATAACACAATGCTTGGAAGGGTACAAAGAAATATTTTTGAGTCATCACGCATCAAAGAACATGCTGGATTCAAATCACAGCAAGGCAACTCAGTATTGATGTTATCTTGGTCAAGGTATATAACTGAGCCTCACCAATTACATGGATAATATACCTGCCTTGCATCAAGGTGGCGTTACTAAATGAGATGCTATGCAAGCGAGTGCCCGGCACAAAATAAGTGCTCACTGAATGCTTGTTCTCTTTCTCAGCTCTTTTATAGGCAGTTCTTAGTCCTTTTTCCTCTAAGAATGTTCTACTCTCACCTTTAAGGACTCAGGGAGGCACTTCCTCAAGGATTTCTCTAGCATATGCAGCATCTGTGGATTCTGCAAACGGAACATCTTGGCAGGTAGCTTACCCTACAGAGAGGATCGAGAAACATCAAGTAAGGAAATGAGCCAGAAGACGTGGACACAATATACAGTTCTAATGAGTGGTTTGGCCTCCATTCCTGCTATTTTGTTCATTCCTCATTTACTAAACTTCTCACCAACACCAAGAAAGAATTAGACTGGTGGAAAGTACAGGTATCTCTTTCTGATGTTATTTCGAATACCATTTTTTCAATTTCTAAAAATATTTCTGGAATTTTTGTTTTCATTGTTACACTGCTCAGAATTCCAGGAATGGAAGATGTACTGAGAGTAACAACTTTATTCTCTAGGCATGTGTAAGCATCTTTTGAGATTCAGTTTCCATTCTTGACAAACCTGACTGTGCCACTGAGAAGCTGTATGACATCAGGAAAGTTATTAATACTTATTTCCTCATTTATAAATGGCTATGGCTGTAGTACCTGTTCCATAGAGCAGTTGAGAAAGTTAAATCAATCAGTACATATAAAGTTCTTGGAAGGGTGTCTGGGACATAGTAAGCACTCAATGCATGATTATAACTATTATTACTCTTTTTATTATTATAATCAGCACAAGCAAGAGTCAACCCACACTGCCATCCAAAAAAGTCCATTGGGTGGCTTTTCTTACACACAACTTGGTGTAGATTTGAAACAAAGTGAAAAGCATTAAATGGGGGTAATCCATGTAATCTGGCACATGGTCAATGAGCTAAGTTTCAAGTCTTTAGTAGAGTGTGTAGCTTGAGCAGAACTTAATATATGTCCATCATTTTAGTTACTGTTAGCATTATTATTTATTCATATTTATTTCTTTTTATTTCAGAATATTATGGGGATATAAACATTTTGGTTTCAAGTAATGCCTTTGCCTCTCCCAAGCCGGGGATAGAAGCATGATTTGGGGTGTGCCTTTTCCCCCCTACAACCTCATTTTGAAGGATGAGCTCAAGCTCTACCCAGCATAATATAAGAGGTGCTAGATCACCATTGTTTTTTGTAGTTGAGTAGTATTCCATGGTATACATGCAAAATATTTTATTAATCCACTCATGTATTGATGGGCATGTGGGTTGTTTCGACATCTTTGCAATTGTGAATTTTGCTGCCATAAACATTCGAGTGCAGATATCTTTATTATAGAATGTCTTTTATTTTCCTTTGTGTAGATGCCTAGTAGTGGGGTTGCTGGATCAAATGGTATTTATATTTTTAGCTCTTTGAAGTATCTCCAAATTACTTTTCACAGGGGTTGTACTAATTTGCAATCCCACGAGCAGTGTAAAAGTGTTCTAATCTCTCCACATCCACACCAGCATTTGTTGTTTGGGGACTTTTTGATAAAGGCTATTCTCACTAGAGTTAGGTGATATCTCATTGTGGTTTTGATTTGCATTTTCCTAATGATTAGAGATGTTGATCACTTTTTTTATATGTTTGCTGGCCATTATTCTGGCTTATTTAGAAAAGTTTCTGTTCATGTCCTTTGTCCAATTATTGATGGGGTTGTTTGATTTTTTCTTGTTAATTTTCTTAAGTTCTATATAGATTCTTGTTATCAGCCTGTTATTGGATGTGTAGCATGCGAATATTTTCTCCCATTCTGTAGGTTGTCTGCTTGCTCTAATGACAGTTTCTTTGGCTGTGCAGAAGCTTTTAAATTTTATCAGATCCCACTAATTTATTTTTTTGCTGCTGTGATTGCTTTGGGGGTCTTCTTCATAAATTCTTTCCCTCGGCCAATGTCTATAAGAGTTTTTCCAACATTTTCTTCTAGAATTCTTAAGGTTTCACTCCTTAAGTTTAAGTCTGTTATCCATTTTGAGTTGATTTTTGGGAAAAGTGAGAGGTGGGGATCCAGTTTCAATCTTCTGCATGTAGTTATCCCAGCACCATTTATTGAACAGAGATTTTTTTTCCCCAATGTATGTTTTTGTCTGCTTTGTTAAAGATTAGGATGGTTTTATGTCTAGGTTCTCAATCCTGTTCTAATAATCTATATCTCTGTTCTTTTGCCAGTACCATGCTGTTTTGGTTATTATAGCCTTATAATAAAGCTTGAAGTCTGGTAGGACTGATGCCTCCCAATTTGTTCTTTATGCTTAAGATTGCTTTGGCTATACAAGGTCTTCTCTGGTTCCATACAAAGCATAGAATTATTTTTCTAGATATGTAAAGAATGATGATGGTACTTTGATACGAATTGTATTAATTCTGTAGATCACTTTAAGTAGTATGGACATTTTAACAATATTGATTCTGCCAATCCATGAGCATGGTAGATTTTTCCATCCCTTTACCTCTTCTACAGTTCCTTTTTTTCAGTGTTTTGTAGTTCTCCCTATATATGTCTCTCACCTCCTTTGTTAAATATATTCCTAGAAATTTAATTTTATTTGATACTATTGTGAAAGGTGTTGCATTTTTTTATTTGATTTTCACATTGGCTTCATAGAATGAGTTGGGAGGACACCATCTTTCTCAATGTTGTGGAATAATTTCTGTAGTATAGGTATGAGTTCCTCTTTGTAGGTTTGGGAAAATTCAGGTGTGAACCCATTTAGTCTGGGACTTTTACTTGTCGGAAGGTTTTTAAATTCTGCTCCAATTTCTGTGCTTGATATTGGTCTATTCAGGAATTTTGTTTCCTCCAGATTGAGCTAAGAGAAGTTGTGTGTTTCCAAGACTTTGTCCATTTCCTCCACATTTTATGCATTTGGGGCATAGAGATTTTTATAGTATTCAAAGTAATGTTTTCTATTTTTGTGATGTCTGTGGTGACCTCTCCTTTTTCATTTCTAATTGAGCTTATTAGAGTCCTTTCCTTTCTAGTTCTTGTCAATCTAGCAAGAGGGCTATCAATTTTGTTTGTCTTTTTGAAAAAACAACTTTTGATTTTATTGATCTTCTGTATAGTTCTTTTGTTCTCAATTTCATTTAGTTCTGCTCTGATCTTAGATATTTATTTTCTTCTGCTAGGTTTATAATTAATTTGCTCTTCTTTTCCAGTTCCTTGAGATAGTTGATTAGTTTGTTGATTTTTGAGCTTTTTGTCTTTTAAATGTGAGCATGTAATGCTATTAGTTTTCCTCTCAGGAATGCTTTTATTATATCCCACAGATTTTGATAACTTGTATCCCCATTATCATTTAATTCAAAGAATTTTTGATTTCCATCTTGACCCAATAGTCTTTCAGCAATAGATTGTTTAACTTCCATGACTTTGCAAAGTGATGAGGGTTTATGTTGGAATTGAACTCTAGTTTTATACCACTATGGTCTGTGAAGATACATGTATAAATTCTATTATTCTAAATTTGTTGAGGTCTTATTTGTGGCCTAGGATGTGATTACTTTTTGACAAGGTTCCATGAGTTGATGAGAAGAATGTATATTTGGCTTTATTTGGGTGGAATATCCTGTAGATGTCTGTTAGACCCATTTGTTCTAGAGCTCTGTTTAAGTCCATTGTTTCTTTGCTTCCTTTCTGCTTGAAGGATATGTCCAGTTCAGTCAGTGGGGTGTTGAAATCCCCAGCTACTATGGCATTACTGTTTATCATGCTGTTTAGATCAAACAGGTTTGCTTTATGTATCTGGGTGCTCCTGTGTTGGATGCATAAATGTTAAGAACTGGTTAAGTTTTCTTGTTGCATTTTTCCTTTTACCATTACTTTTACCATTTACCATTTACCACCTTTGGCTTTCTTTTTTTTTTTTTTTTTTACAGATTTTTAGTTTTATTTCAGAATAAAAGTAAAAGCAACACTGGAATTCCATTTCAGTAATATCCCAAGTTGTGGGACTAAGCTGATGGTTCTGAAAACTTACATGGTTATTTTATATAATCATGTGCTACATAATGACGTTTCAGTCAATGACAGACTGCACATACCATGGTGGGCCCACAAAAGTATAATACCATATTTTTATTGTACCTTTTCTATATTTAGATATGTTTAGATACACAAATACTCACCATTGCCTACAGTGATCAGTACAATAACATGCTGTACAGGTTTGTAGCTAAGGAAAAATAGGCTCTACCATATAGCCTAGGTGTGCAATAGACTGTCATCTAGGTTTGTATAAGTATACTCTATGATGCTTGTACAATAACAAAATCACCTAAAGACACATTTCTCAAGAGGTCACTGTTATTAAGTGATGCATGACTGTACATTCTATAAAAGTTTCTTCAAAAGAACCAAATGAGTATATTATAGTGAGACTCTAGTGTTATCTACATTGTTTTGTTGGCCCTTCCTCTCATATATCATTATTAAAGATTAAAAATAACTTCTAGGGCAATTATTTCTTCCTTATAAAAGAATTCTATATTTAAATTAATAATGGACTACAAATAATAAGTCTAAAATAACTTAAATCTTCTAGGATATCAGTTTTCCAACACAAACAATTTTGTTTTTTTAAAACTCTAGCAAATGGTGCTGGCAGATAACGCATTAAGGAAAGCAAAGCTGTATGTGTGCACATAGCTTCCATTTTGATGGCCTCCGATTTCTGAGCAGGGCCATAACACAGCAAAATGGCACTGGCATATTATACCTGGTCATGGCTGGCTTCGATGGAGTTTCCAATAGCATGGAAAGTCATCTGCACAGGGGCTAATGTCAGACAGGTCACATACTCTTTGCCACTTTGTCTATCACAGTAGTGAACTATTACTTGGTGGTTCAGGAAACCCAGCCTTTGGACCACTCCATCCTTTGTTTTCCCCTGTCTTCTCAAGTTGATCCTGAAGACTAGTGGAGGCTTTATAACCAAGTTGTAACAGCATTGCTTCTGCAGCATTTTTTTTGGCTATCTTTTTATTAGGTCCTGTTCCTGTTGCAACTTCACTGCCTACCTTGACCTGCATCACAAATTCTCGACGTCGAGGCATTCCTCTTTCTGAAAGCAAAACATAATCTGGCTCCTTTTCCTTTTTGGCCTGTTGAATTTGGGCCAGGCGGCTAATGGGGTTCATTCCTTGACCATATTCTGGACCAGCCTTTACTATTGTTTTAGGGCGTTTTTTAAAAAATAGTTTAGGCTTTTCCACCATAGGAAGAGGTGGAAGTTTTCTAAGCTCCTGTAGGACGGTGGTTGCAGCACGTTTCTTAGAGAGTTTTTTGCTATTTCCCTCTCCTTCTGCGGAAAACTCTCCCACTGACACTCGAGTAACAAAGCTTTTCATATGTGGTGGTCCACTTTCTTTAATAACCTCAAAACTGACAGGCATATTTCGCTTCAGAGCAATTTCGAACACTAAGCTGATCACAGATTTATTTGCATCTTTGTCATCATCCATTTCTTTTCCTGATTCACCATTCTGATGTGATTTTTCTGGAATAGGTTCATTCTGCAGTGCTTGAAGGGCTTTCATTGCAGCATTGTGTCTAGCAGCTTGTCGAGTCTTCCCTTCCCCCCAAAATTCATTATTTCCTACAGTCAGCTGAACGTAAAAGATCTTAGGCATTGGGCAATGATACCTCTGATTGTACATGCCCCGAAAGTTGTAATTAGCTCTATAATTTGGGAATGGCTTTGGATCTAATGGCCTGTAGATGGCAGGCTCTCCCCTTTTCATAGCAAGCCCATTCAGTTCCACAGTTGGAGTTATACTACCTGGGTTATTATTAACATTACTTTTGGCTGGTTTCTGAACCAGTTTGGGAAGCGCAGATTCGGTCAAAGCTTTATTAGCAACAGCTTGTTGGGCTTTCTTTATACTGCTCCCCTCGGATTCCCATGTCTGCTCGCCAAGACTCAGCTGCACTGAGAACATCTTCGAATGAGCAGGCCCTCTTTCATTCAGAAGTTTATACTGGGGTTGGACTCTATTGAAACGGGCTAACTCATTTACCGGACACATTGGAGTTTTCTCTTTTGGGGTTGCCATTTTATCTTGGAGAGCTGACTTATTTGAAGCATGTTAAGGCAATATTGACCAAACTGCTGTATCCTTCACGGCTCCAAAAACTCCACTCCGCCTCCCGCCGGCCCGCGGCCGAGCGCGGCCATTGTTCGCGGCGCCGCTCCCGCCCCCTGGCGGCCGCCCGGCCCCCCGCAGCAGCAGGCACTGCGGGACTGGCGCAGGCGGAGGGGGCCGGGGGCGGGGGCCGTTCCCGGGGGCCGTGGGGACCGGGGCGAGCGAGTGCGTGCGCAGCGCGCCCAGCCCGCAGTCTCCAGGTCCCGGGCGCGGTTCCTTTGGCTTTCTTTAATTTTGCTATTTTAAGCTTTATGTTATCTCAAATAAGTATAGTTATCCCCACCTTCTTTTGGTTTCCATTTTCCTAGAAGTTGTTTTTTCCAACCCTTGACCTTGAGTCTGAAAACATCTTTGTGGGTTAAATGTGTTTTCTGGAGACAGCAGATACTTGGCTTATGAATTTTTATCCACTGAGCCAGTCTATGTGTCTTCAGAGGACAATTCAAGCCATTCACATTTATTTAAAGAATTGATATTTGGGGTAGATTTCTGTTCATATTATTGAAGAAGTTCTTATTGTTTCGTTTTACTTCTCGAGCCATTGTAGAATCCAGGTTCTAGACTTTAACTCCTGAGTGATTTTGCTTTCGTGGGTGTCTATTACACTGTTCAGTATGAAATGCAGGTCTGAATACTTCCTACAGGGCAGGTCTGCTCTTCGCAAATTCCATGAGTGATTGCTCATGCAGAAAAGTCTTTATCTTTCCCTCATAGATGAAGCTTAGTTTTGCTGGGTGAAGAATTCTAGGTCGGCCATTATTCTATTGGAAGATTGAGGATAGGTGCCCCGTCCTTTCTGGCTTGTAAGATTTCAGTTGAGAAGTCTGCAGTTAGTCTCACAGGTTTTTCTTTGTAGGTTACCTGCTGTTTTCGTTTTACTACTTGAAAGATTACTTCTTTTGTGTTTACCTTGGCAAGTCTAATAATTATGTGACATGGTGATTACTTTTTCACGTTGGTCTCCTGGCAGTTCTATGTGCTTCTTTTATCTAGAGCTCTAGATTTCTGGCCAGAACAGGTATATTTTCCTCCAGTGTTCCAAGAAATAGATTTTCCATCCCTTGTGTATTTTATTCTCTCTCTCTGGGCTATAATTCTTATGTTTGGTTTCTTTACATAACCCCACATTTCTTGTATATTTTTTCTTGTCTCTTGCTTTTGTGTTCTTCATCTGATTTGTTTGGCACATAGACATTATCTTCAGGCTCTGATATTCTTTCCTCTGCATGATCTATTCTATTCTTAAGGCTTTCCACTGTGTTTTGTAGTTCCTTAAATGCTTTTTTCATTTCCAGTGTTTCTGTTTGGCTCTTTTGTAATATTTCAATTTCTTTAGAGAATTTTTCATTCATTTCCTTATTGTTTATGTGGCTTCTTAGTTTTCTTACAATTCATATTTGTAATCTTCCTCTGACATTTTAATCCTTTTGTTTAAATTGCAATATGTTGCTGAGGGTCTAATGATTTCTTTTGGGGGTGACTTTTCTCTCTAACCTTTCATGTTTCCTGCATTCTTTTACTTATTCTTTCTTAACAGGCTACTTGGTCAAGAACTGCAAGTGCTAGGACTGGTTTATGGCCCTAACTCCAGGCCCCCAAAGAGACGTTCCTTGATAGTGCTGGGAAGAGGCACACTGGTCCTGTATTGCCTAAAATGTATTGTAGCAAGTTTGGTTACCTCTGACCTGTTGTCTTCACCTCTTGCCAATGGAGATTAGTGAGTTTAGTTCCCCCAACTTAAGCCCCTAGGTGGTGGATTACACTTGTGTGTATGACTTCACTGCCCTCTAATAGCATGAGATGGAAGTTACTGTGTTAAGCTATGGTATTACCTTCTCTGTCATTGACTGTAGTTTGCATGGAGGAGCCAGTTCTCGAGGCAATCTGATGCCTCAGTGTTGGGCTTTGGTCTCCCAGATTGAGTATGTGAGTGCCCCGATCTTTGACAGGGGTCTTGGCTCTCCCAAGGGTTACTTGAACCATCTTCCCCCTTTAAGTGGGGGCAAGGGCAAGATAGACCATAACTGGTATGGGCAAGCCTGAGTGTGTATGCTTCTATGGTCCCTTGATCTGCTGCTAGGGGGAGCCACGAATATGTTTTTCCAAACACTTTCGCCACACTTGGGAGGCTGCTTCTGATGGGAGGGGTCAATTGGTGCAACTGCTGAGGACTCTGGCCAGAATTTTCCTTCCTAGTCCATAAAGCCCAAAGGTGGCAGCCACCCAGATGCAAAAAGTGAGCCTTAGAGTTATGTTCTTACCAGATGATCTAAACCAGTCTGGTGGGCTGAATCAACAGGCTGCCCCCTATTGCTTAGCACCAGGGTCCTGCCGATTCACACCAGACACACAGAGAAATGGGCTTTTCTTTCTTCTCCCCGCCTCCAAGAGCAGAGCCTGCCACACCCAGTGAGAAAGTTGCCAGACTGGGGGCGGAGTGTTGTCTGAGACCACCGTGTGCCCCAGCATCTGGGGATCCCACAGATGGCAGCCTTCCACCCTTGGAGCATCAGTGTTGGGGACACGCTCAAGGTCCACCCACCAACACCGTCCCGGCTAGCTGAATTGACAGATCACGGACTACTTTTTAGCACCGAAGTCTTGCGGATTTATGCCAAACACACCGAGAAAGCGGCTCCTCTTGCTTCTCCTCACCTCCTAGGGTGAAACCTGCCACGCCCTGTGCGAAAGTCTCTGGGATGAGGAACGGATGCTACCCCAAACCACATCACACTGCAGCATGTCCAGGCTGTGGACCCCATAGATGGCAGACACCCACCCACGGTTAGCCGGCACTGGGGACGACTCCTTGGGAATCAGCGGATGGCGGTTCAGGGGGCTGAATCAACCAGCCGCCAGCTGCCCCCACTGAATTAATGTCCCGGTGTCTCACATCTGTCCAGTAGAGGTTGCTCTCTCTGTCCCATCCCCAGCTGGCCAAATCTTTGGCCATTTCCAGGGGCAGAGACCCCTTTTAGCATTCAACTCCTTTGTTCTGATCTCCTCTATATTCCTTTGACAGAATGTCAAATAAATGGAATTATTTACTATGTATCTTTTGGGGACAAGTTTCTTTCTTTCAGCAAATCCAAGCAGTCGGGTTTTTCAATGCTGTATTCTTTATTTCTCAATGGTATTCTATTGCATGGATGTGTCAGAGTTTGTTTATCCACTAACCTGTTGAAGGATATTTGGGTTGTTTCTAGTTTTTCATGATTATGAATGCAGTTGCTATAAACATTTGTGTACAAATCTTTGTGTGGATAGATGATTCTGTTTTTCTTGGAGTGCATTTCCAAGGTGATAAAGTAAGTGTATATGTAACTTTATAAGAAACTGCATGTTCTCCAAATCAGCAGCACCATTTTACATACTCATTGGAGTATATGAGAGTTCCATGTGCTACTCATTATTTCCAGCAGACATATTCAGCCATATTTGGGAGTCACTGATATAGTAGGGAAAGTCCTCAACAATACCCTTCACATCAGTATAGAAAGAAGACTCATGGAGCTAATTCTTAAGGTAGGCCAAAAGGTTAAGGTCGAAGTGTTTTTCAATAGATCCAATTCCACAAGGCATTGACAATGCTGAACTTCACCCAAGACCTATGATTCTGAGAAACAACAATCGTTTGTTTAAAAAAAAAAAAAAATCCCTTCATTCTCGCTTTGTGTTCTGGAAAAGGCTCACTGCAAGGAATCATACTTCCCCAAATGACTTACACAGGACTCTGAGACGTCCTCCCTTTTCACCTGTGACAAGACCAAACATGGAGTCTACAAAGCCTTATACTTTGCCTCACAAATGATTAGCTGAACTGCTCATCTCCACTGATAAACAAGGAGAAAATCCTTGTTAGCCAAACTTTGTCCAGTCTTCTCTCCATCCCCGAGGCTGAGTCATCACACACCTCCTCCTTAATAGCCCCCACCAAGAATAGGCCGATCTCTAGTAAAATATTGATCCCTCTTCCCTACACAGAGTTCTCCCTTACCCTGTTTATTCCTCCCTCATAAATGGTTAACTAAACTGTTCATCCTCACTGCTCCATCAGAACAAAGTTCTTGTTGGCTAACTTGACCAAACTTTAGTTAAGCTTCTCTCCAATCCAGTGGGACTCTGACCTTTGACCCACCCTCAGCCTGAGCCAACACTGGTATACAGGAAAACTCTCCTTACTGTGAAAAAAGGCATTGCATAAACTTTGTTTATTCTTGCTATGAAAAAAACAGACCTTTTCTTCCTGACCTTTTAGATGTTTGTGGATCTTAGGATCTGAGGGTTCACCCTATTACAATACTTGTTCCTCCTCTTCGAATGTTCTCGTAAATAAAATTTCTCCTTACCTAAGATTGGAGTTGTTTTCTATTTGTAAATACTTTGGCACAGTTACAATATAAGTTAAATTGACTTTTGTGGCTAGACTGGAAAACCTGAGTATCAGTCTATTCATGCATTCATCCATCCCTCCATTCATTCATTCATTCACGAAATCTTGATAGAGAACTTATTGTAGTGGCTTTATAAGGTGTCACCTTGCCTAGGCAGAAAACCATTTACTGGAATTTCCTTCCCTGCACATTTCCAGTTAGGAAATCTCTCACAAGAGAGATTTTTACAGGAGATTTGGAAAGCAGAATTGAAGCAGCAGCTATTTTTGTAACTTATGTCTTTACACAACGCACTGGCTGGGCTGGAAAGTTCTCCACTGTCCCCAAGATCCCTTTTCAGATTCTTTGTCGTCTGAGACAAGTATGTGTGTTCAGCTCCATAAATGGAGAAAGCAGGGAGGACACCCATATTGCCAAGGACAGAGTCATCAAGAGCTCATAAGGTTTCATACTGTCTCTGTGAGCTCCAGCTTGTGCTGTAGGTTTCAGCTCATTCTTTCTTTCTTCCACTTAAAATTTATTTTCCCTTCCATACAGCCTTCTCCGTGTACTTTAATCTTTAGTAGTATCATATTGGAAGTAACATCCTTATAGA